CACAGGGGAGTTAGAGGGTGGCTAGTGTCCCTATCCCTGTCTCTACCCGCACCTGGCTGGCTTTGCTGTGGTGTCATCTGGCCACGGGAGCTCCAGGCCTGCAGGCGCCCAATTGCACAGCCAGAGCCTGGGAGGAGGTCCCATCCTGCGGGCACCCATTGACCAGCCCTTCTCCCACAGCTGGAGGCCACAGTCATGCCGTACCTGCAGGCCCTGTCAGAATTCAGGGAAGGTGTGCGCAGGATCGCCAGAGAGAAGCAAGGTGAGGCCCGGCCCTGGGGCGCAGGGGCACCAGCCCGCTGTTGGGGCTCATCCTGTGCACTGTGGCATGCTTGCTGCACCCCCACATCCAGACCTCAGTAATCCCTCCCCCCACCAAGGCACAACCTCCAGCCACGTGTCGGGGATCTCCCCCTGCTGAGGGTCTTTGAGTGACTTCCTTCCATTGAGATGAGGTTGTGGGTGGGGTGTAGGCTCTCACGCTGCCACGTTGGGAGGAGCAGATCAGCTTCAGGGTGTGGGAACCCCACTGTGCCTGCCATACGGGCTGGGGGATCGGAGACCCCACAGAGGGTGCACTGTGGCCAGTAGGCCCTCCTCGCCGCTGTCCTGCTGAGACCACAGCCTGGTCTCAGACACTTACACACACCCCACTTGGGAGACCTACGATTGAGATGCCATGCTGGGCCTGGATTGCGTCTGAGGCCAGTTTTAATCTGTTTGGCACTGAGGCATGCGTGGGCAGGAAAGGGAGTGTACCTACCCAGCCAGCTCTGCGTGGGTGGGTGGGTGGCCTCAGCCGCCACAACTGAACTAGCCAAGGACCCAGGCTTTTACTAAAGCCAGGAGATCCCGGGATGCTGGGGAGCTGGCCAGGGTCAGGCCGGGCTAGTGTCAGGTCACCTGAGTCCCTCAGTCTGCTGCCGTGGCTGGGAGCAGGCCAGGGCTAGCCATTCCAGCCAGGCAGTGCTGCTGTGAGGTACACAGGATACACAGGATGCCAGCCAGCAGGGCCATGGGCTCGGGCAGGAGCCCTCCACCGGGCACAGGTTCCCCTTGTTGAAGAATGTGTATAGATTGGCCCTGCAGCAGGTTGGGATGGATGGGGAGCCGGCTATTGAGGGCAGGCCTAAGGCAGCCCCTTGGGCAGGCCGTTGCCGGGTTGCCATGGACTTGGGGGCCCGGGACTCCCAGGACCTGATGGTCTGTCTTTGTCCCCACAGTCTCCGAGGTCCTGCAGCTCAGTGATGCCTTACGAGACGACATCATGCCCGAGCTTGGGGTCCGGCTGGAGGACCACGAAGGTGCTGTGAGCGTCGGGAGTCTTTGGGCTCAGGGGTCCATCCCCAGGCTTATGCGCTTCAGATGGATTGAGGTTGCCCTCCTGCCCCAGCTGCTGGCAGGATGTCCCCTGAGCTTGGAGGACATGGTGTCCTCACTGGCAGGGCCCTCCCGTCACAATGCCCAGCCGCACACCTTGCTTGTCACACTGCTTCTGAGCCCTGGTGGTGCCATGGACTAGGCACCGAGCTGATACTGCAAAGTCTGTGGTTCAAAGCCACCGGCTGCTCCAAGGCAGAAAGACGAGGCTGTCTTTTCCCGTAACTGCCTGTAGTCGTGGGAACCCCACTGCCCATTGGCTTCTCTCCCGGCCGGGCAGTCACCATTAGTTGGCGCTGCCCCATCGCCTGGGTGGGGGTGTGGGGTGGGCTGCTCCTCCCCCAGTGCTGCACTCTGTCCCTAGAGGGAACCCGCCTGTCGGTGAGCAGTGAGCCGAAGGCCCAGCCTGTGCTTGCCATCTGTCCCCTTGTTTGGTTGGGGCTGGGGACAAGGGGTTCCCCGAGCCTCGGGTAGCGCCCGTGGGCCTCCGCCTCATCTGAGACCACCTTCTCCTCAGGACTGCCCACGGTGGTCAAGCTGGTGGACAGAGAGGCCCTTCTGGCAGAGAGGGAGGAGAAGAGGAGGGTGAGTGGCCCCCACAGGGCTCCTGAGCACAGGCTGCCCAGACAGACGGACAGTGTCTGAGCCGCTGAACGCCTCGCCTTCGGGGGGAGGGGGGCTGTGAACGGGGTCGGCAAGGCCGCTTGTTAAAGTAGTGCTCCTCCCCCCACCCCCACCCTGCCCAGGGGGCTTGACCTGTGAGGCTGGACCCTCGGCACCGAACCCTCCACAGTGCGCTGCCCGCTGCGGGACCGTGTGCCGGGGGCTCCCGTCCTCGGTGCCCTGCTGAGAGCAGACATGGGTGTGGCGCCCCAGCCTTGAGGCGGCATGTGGCCCAGGCCTCGTGTCACTCGGCGGCTCTTGCAGGTGGAGGAGGAGAAGAGGAGGAGGAAGGAGGAGGCGGCCCGGAAGAGGCAGGAGCAGGAGGTACTGCCCAGAGGGCGGGCAGGCGGGGAGCCTGGGCAGACATGCAGGGGCTGTGCTGAGCCCCCACACCTCCAGCTGCACCCCGGTGGGGAGCCCACAGTGAGGAGGGTTGTCTCAGCGAGGGCACTGGGCTCTGGGTAGAGTTCTTCCCACTCCACCACCTCCTCAGCACCCAGAATCAGAGGGCGCGGAGACAGGGGCGGCCACTCCCGAGTCAGGGCCTGGCGTTGCGGGGTGAGCGGGTGTGAGGGCCGGCCCCTTCTTGTACTGCAGGCGGCAAAGCTGGCCAAGATGCGGGTCCCGGCCTGCGAGATGTTTCTGTCGGAGCGAGACAAGTACTCCCAGTTTGACGACAGCGTAAGAGCGGTTTCTCTCCGAGGCAGGGGAGCCACTGGGGAGGGGCGGGGGGGGCGCCCAAGGGGAGTCCCACCTGAGGGGAGACCCCAAGGACCCAGGTTCTCTGTCCCCTGCATCCCAAGGTGCCAGTGTCCCACTGGCAGGCTGCCCCTGGGCCCTCAGCTCACCTTCACGGCTGTCATCCCTAAAACCACTTGTGCTGGCCGCACCCTTCCCTGGACTATGGCCCACTGTCCCACGAGCTTCGGACCCAGGTAGGGGCTGTGGCTGACAGCATCTGCTGTGCCGCAGGGCCTGCCCACGCACGACGCTGACGGCAAGGAGCTGAGCAAGGGCCAGAGCAAGAAGCTCAGGAAGCTATGGGAGGCCCAGGAGCGGCTGCACCAGGAGTACCTGCAGCGGCTCACCAACGGCAGCGCCTAGGTGCCCACCGGGGACGCGGGTGACAGGCTGCACCTGGCCTTGGGGGACAGGCGGCTCTCCTGTGGGGACTGCGCCCGGCCTTGGAGGACAAACGACTCTCCTGCAGAGATTGTACCCAGCCTCCGGGGACAGGCGGCTTCTCCTGCGGGGACTGAGTCTGGCCTCAAGGGACAGACAGCTTCTCCTGTGGGGCCTGGGCCCAGCTTCAGGGGACAGGTGGCTCCTGTGGGGACTGCGTCCGGCCTTGGAGGACAGGCAGCTTGCAGCCCCCACCAGGGCTGATAGGCGGACCATCACCTGACGCACCCACAGATGGTGCCGAACTAGAGCCTGCTGGAACTCTGGCCTGTGGGTGGCAGGTGGCTCACCTGTGTAGACTCCACCTGGCCTGCCGGTGGCAGGCGGCTCACCTGTTCAGGGCCCATCGCTGGAGGCCCTGCACATACTGCTGAACAAGAGTGTGCCCTGAGAGCTGGCAGGGACTCTGCCCACGTGCCAGGGTGACAGGCATATCCGTGTTTACACGCACCCCCACCCCTCGCCCTAAATTAAGCACCTGCCCCTGTGGAGCTGGGCCCACTGGCCAGAGATGTCACAATAAAGCCACTCAGTGCCAGGCCCGCCCTTTGCTGCTGCCCACCCGCTGGTTCAGCCTTGGCTGCCTGTGTGTGACCTGGGGTCAGCAGGTCACTGAGCAGGGCCCCAGGGACACCCCCCACCCCGCCGATGTCCCACCCCTGGCATTTAGCCAGATGTAGACCGCCGGGCTCTAGGGCTGCTGGCACCCGGGACAGGCTGCCCATGCCCCTCCCCAGTTGGCCAACACTCATATGTCCGTCCAGCCAGGAGCTGCAGGGCCCACAGGAGGTGAGGCGTCTGCCTCTGGGGGCAGGATTGTGTCCTCAGTGCACTGCTCACATGCTGCCCACCAGCCTACGCTGAGGAGAGAGGCGGGAGGTGGTGCCCACAAGAGCTGAGGACAGGTGGCATGACCGGTGTGTGCCAGGAGGGTCCGTAGTCACCGAGGACTTCCATGGAACAGCCTTCCTCTGGGCCATTGCCCATTCCTGTGGTTCCTGGACTGAGTCCAGTGGCTGCCCCTGGGCTGGCTGGGCAAACCGGCAGAGGCTGTGTGCTCACGGGAGCAGCCAGCCCCACCTTTGTCCCAAAAACCAGTCAGTGGGCTCGAACCTCTCACCCACTGGGCCCCTGCGGTTCCTTGAGGAGAGCGCACTTGTCCGCACACCAGCGTTCCAGCCCAGCAACCCTGGGCAGCCACAGATGGCTGTGCCCGCTGAGAGCCAGAAGATGGCAGTTCAGACCCACCCTCAGCCCCGAGGAGGGAGCAGGCCAGGCAAACAGTTCTGATCTGACTCTTGGGCCTCCAGGTTCCCGGCCAGGGCCAGAACAAGACCAGTGGCCGGAACAGCGCAGTCTCGGCCCTGGGCAGGCTCGTGTTGGCGACTGGGGTCTAAGGGAAGGGGCAGATCCAGAGTTTGGAGGCACTGGGCAGCCAGGGCACGCTCAGAGCTTCCTGGACTTCGCATCTGTTTCCACCCCCAGGCTATATACTGGCTGTGCCCACTGAGTGGGCGTTGGCCAGGGCTTCCCAGTGGCACCAAGCTGTCCAAGCACTGGGGGGGCCTTTACAGGCCACTCCTTGGAAAAAGGTCAGAGTCAGTGCAGGGGGGCCCAGCCTGGTCAGCAGTAGTGTGGGTGGTCCTGAACCCAGAAACGGGCTTCAGCATCAGGTTGACAGAAGAGCTGGGAGACCTCCCTCAGGGCCACAGGTTCAAGTCCAGCGCTACAGCTCCCATGGGCCCGGCCACAGGAACAGCGGTGTCCTAGAGCTCCTGGGTTAGGGACTGAGAGTGGGCTATGTGGCTAGGAAGGCAGGCAGTGGCGGGAGGGACAGTCCTGTGTCCTGGTGGCGACAAATCTCTAACACAGGAGCAGCACTAACGACACACACACACACACACACACACACACGGCTGGTCCTGACCTCAGCTGCTGTCAGGCACGGAGTGGCACCCCAGGTGCCGGGCAGTCACACGGAAGAACTGCCACGCAGTCTCCCACTAGGATCACAGCGCACACAGGAGATCAGCCTGCGATGGGGAGGGGCCGGCCCTGGGAAGGACAGGGTGCTTGGTGAAGTAGCGGGTCTGAGGAAGAAGGAGGCCCTCCCTCGCTCCAGGAGATAAGCTGGCACAATGGTTCCAACCACAGCTGCTGTGAGGCCAAGGCAGGGTCAGGGCAGAGTTGGAGCCAACTCCACAGTGCCCGACAAAAGGCATGGTGTCAACACTGTGGGAGAATGACCCGGGCCTGCAGGACGAGCTACCTGTGTAAGCTTGTTTTGTGTGCAACTTCCCATGAATCCAGGAGCCGCCCTGGCGGTGCCTTGGTTACATGCATGGCCATTGACTGCAAGGTCGGTCGGCAGTTCAAAACCACCAGCTGCTCCGCAGGAGGAAGAGGAGACGTCTACTACCTTAGAGTTACAGCCTTGGAAACCCACAGGGGCAGTTCTACCCTGCCCTGTGGGGTCACTGTGAGTCACAACAACTCAGTGGCAGGGAGCTTGACCTTTGAGAGTTCTTAAGAATCCTTGTTAGTTACCCTCTCAGATGCTACCTGGGGCAGCAGCTAGACCCCGCCAGCGGCTCCTGTGAAGATATAGAACCCTGGAAATCCCCGGGGCGTCCTGCTCTGTCCACTAGTGTGGCACTTTGTCACCATGGCAGGGGCAGCCCAATGTCCAGTGGCTCAAAGCTGATGCCGGCTCCTGGAGCTGTGTTCCGGGGGCCCTGTGGGGGCAACTGCTGTCCCCACTGCCCTAAGCAGATGGCCAGACCTTTTCTCCTACGGAGTCCGCAGCAGGGTTTGAACTGCTGACCTCGCAAGTGCAGCAAGCCCCAACCTGCTGCGGATTCCAACTCGGAGCAACCCCACAGGACACACTGGCACTGTTACAGGTGCAGACAACCCACCTCCCACCCAGCAGTGGGTGTGTTTGAACCGCTGACCATGCTGTCAGCAGCCCGACATCTAACCCGCCGCGCCACCAGTGCTGTTGAAAGCTCCCGACGACTCCCAAGGGCAGCCGAGCAGAACGGAGGGTGCAGGGAGCCCTGAGTGTACCTGTGCAGCTGGTGGGGTGGCAGCAAAGGGCGGTGCCTGTCCGCAGCCATGGTGAGGTCCTTGTTTGGCAGTCCCCTGGGGGTGCCACCATGGCCGGGCACAAGTCGGCCCGAGCTGGGTCCAGCCATCTACCCACACCTTCTGGGGGGGGGGGCTTTGTGTAACCCCTGCCACCTTATCCAGCTATCTCTACCCACAGACCTGGGGCGTGAGGGTTCTTACACGGCGGGGCTCTATCACTCCTGCTGGAGCCAGGCACTCACAGATGCCCTGGTGGAGGTGGACTCTGGCATCCCCTCCCGCTGGATCCAGGCACTTACCCGCAGGCCTCCTGCGGGGCTCTGTGTCACCCCTTTAATCAGCACCCCTAGTTGGACCACAGCTGTGTATGTGAACCACATCTGAGACTGAAGCCATCTGTTAGTTCTCATACCGGCAGCCTGTCCAGACCCTTGTCCGCAGGAAGGACACAGTGGGCACCGCCAGGAGGGCCTGTCTGCAGGACACCTTGTGATGTCGGCAGGTGCGGAGTAGGGTCTGCACCTGGCTTATGTGTGGAGCGGAGCTGGGGTGCTGCTGGGCCATCGTGCAGGTGGCCTGTGGGCCGAGGGCCGCAGATGAAGTCCCCTGGGCAGGTGCTCTGATGTTTGGCACTCAGATGGTCCCCCAGGAAGCCCCCCAACCAGCAAGGCAGCTGTGCAAGGTGGGCCTGAGGCCGCTCCCAGCAGGGCAGGGCCGGGGGAGGCTGAAAACCCTGAGCCTGCAAGGGGTGTGGCACTGGGCTGCTGGGGACAGTGGGTGATTTGTGAGAACAGAAGTCCTCTGTCTCTGAGGCCAAAAGTTCACATTCAGGGCGTTGGCCCTGGTCTCAGATCCTCCGGTTTTGGGACTTCTGGTAGCCCCAGGCACCTCTGTAGCCCCTCTTTGGAGGGACTGGCTCCCGTGTGATTCCCCCGTGACCCAATTACATCTCAGAGACCGCTTCCAAACAAGGTCCTGGGTCTCTCTCGGGCTGAGGACTGGAGCCAGCTCACAGCAAGGTGACCTCAGGGGCCCAGCCAGCTGTGGCCTCAGCATCGTTCCCCACACCCTCCTGAGTTGGCGGAGGTGCCCTGCTGGGCCCAGTCGGAGCCTCTGGAACAGCAAGGCGAGTGGTTCCGCTCTGGTCTCCCTGCCCCGGCAGCTGAGCCAACTTGTCTGCCTCCGCACACAAGACTTGGGCGTCTGTGTTTATAAAACACTGGGTCACCATCTGAGCACCAGACAGAACAGAAGACGGCGGCCGAGGTGGCAGAAATGGGCCTGGGCACCCAGAACAGTGGTCACAGCTCCTGCCCCGCCCTCCTCCTCACCCAGCCACCCAAGCCTGGAGTCCGCCCACTGCCCAGCAACCCCGATGGGAAGCTCTACCCAAGCAGGTGGCGGCTGGTGCTGTTTAAGTAACTTCAAGTCGGTTCTGACCGGTCACAGCCCCACGAACAACAGAACAACCCCCGCCTGGCCCCCGTCGTCCTCACAGCCTGGGCCCGTGGCTGCAGCCATTGTGTCCATCCACCTCGCTGCCCCACCACTTGCCTGTCAGTCTGTCGTCCTGCGGCGGCTCATATGTTGCTGTCATGCTTGGAGCTACGTCCCTGGCATTTCAAAGGCCAGCAGGGTCACCCATAGTGAACAGGTTTCAGCAGAGCCTACAGACGAGGACGGAATTTGCTGTCTGCTTCAGAGGAAGCAGCCATGGAACACCTAAGCACGTGGCTGGTTTAGGTTTCTCTTGTGGAACCGCCTGCCATGGGTTTGAACTGCTGACCTCAATGTAGTGAGCCCCACCCGTGGCTCAGAGCGACCTTACAAGACAGAGTGCAGCTGCTCCTCAGGGCCTCCCAGACTGGTGGCATTGCTCTGGGAGCAGACAGCCTCATCTCTCTCCCACACAGAGGCAGGTGGTTTTGAACCACTGACCTTGTGGTCTGCAGTCAAGTGTCTGACCCACAGCACCACCAGGGCCTTTCCTTTGGCCCCCCGGGGTGCCCAGTGACCCGCAGCCACAACCTGGGTGTCCCCGGACGCAAAGGTGCAGGTGTACTACCTAGGTCTGCGCTCAGCAGGGCTTTCTGGCTGGTGTTTCGGAAGCAATCAGCCAGGGCTTGCTTCTGCAGTGCCTGCAGGTGCGCGTGGAGCTTTGAGCGAGCAGCCAGGAACGATCACCATTTACACTGCCCAGGGGCTCCCAGAGGTTGGGCCCCCGGTCATCCCTCTGCTGGGGGCCTGGGCGGATCATCCAGCCCATGTCCCTCTGGGGAATCACCTCTGCCCAGGGGAAGTCAGCCTGGCAGGTGCGTTGGGAATGAGGGCCAGATGGTCTGGTCAGGGGCAGTCCCTGAGGGTCAGCTGGAGGTGGCAGAGGGCTGGGAAGGCAGGCTGTGGGCCACAGGTGCCAGGGTCAGAATGGAGGAGGGATGGTGAGTGGGGGCAGGCAGGTTAGGCTCAAGAGC